TATCTTTTTCTGGATTTTAGGGATTTTGTTTTTGCTTCATAAAATATATGAGTAAGCTAATCAATCGATCTTAGGCAGTATATATGACATAGTATTTGTTTCTAATTTATGTGTTAATTGGTTGAAGATAGAAAGCTAATAACTAAAATAGGTTACTTCTCAAATACATTCAAGCTGGTTCCTAAGTATATATTTGTTAGCATCAAATTCTTCCAGTTGTTTGGAAACTAGGCTACTTTGTGGTTTTTAAGGACAGACTTTAAAAGCCTTGTGTCAGTGGAATAATCTTAAAATCAAAGCCCCACCTTGTCTGCTGTAACAAACCAAAGTAAAACTGTACTCTTAAATTCTGCTTTATATTTTTATGGGACTCTAATCAACTGGGTATATTAACTGTGTCATGGGCTGTCTGATGACATTTTGAAGTAGAAAAAGTAAATTGCCTTTTCTATCGTACCCTTTGCCAGACGTTTTCCTACTTTGACTCAAGGCAAACCATTCAATTGAGATGATTCAGTTCATTTATTACTACAGAGCACATTGAGTAATATTTGTAATTCAGTCATAATTTGGAATATATCCTAACTCTTCTTCTCAGCCCCTCAAAGAAGGAAAAATGCAATTTATGGGTGCTGAATTTGAAATTTACGATAGTAGGATTAGTAATAGACGTCTTTCAGAAATCTATATTTTCACTGGTATATATTCCTTAAGTTTGTTCTGGTGTTCTATTTAAAAGGCAAAGCTTAGATTCAGTGAACGATTTCATTCATGTATAAGCTTAATAATTGCATCGTACATGTGACTGCTGAAAAGTAGGGTGCAAAACAGAGTACCTCAGCTGGAGGTCCTTTAGATTTAGATTTTTAACATATATTTAAGATTTCACCAGCCCCCAGTAAAACTCCTGAGAACTGAGTCTCTCACGAGCTTCCCTGGTAGATGACATTTCACAAGTGTTGTGAGTTTGTTGTCAGAGGAATTAAGTGTGACTCTATCAGGAGAGGGCGACTCTTGGAAGTTTACACCTAGACTCCTTTGAACTTTGCCCCATGCACCTTTTTCTTTACCGATTTTGCTTTCTATCCTTTTACTGTATGTAATAAATCATAGCCATGAGCATGACTATATGCTTACTCCTGTAGGTCCCCTAATGAATCACTAAATCTGGATGTTGTCTGGAGGGCTCCCGGCACAGCTTTCCTCTTGTAATTTAACTTCAGTGACCTGGGATAAATATATTTATATAATAATTAAATACATTGTTAACATTAAGTTAGATGTTTACATAGCGTAAGAAAAATAAAAAGAAAGCTACATCTTTATTCCAGTGATACTGTAAACCCTCTAAAACCTGCTGTTTTTCAACTTTGAGTTCTGGATTGTGTCCATGCAATTACTCACGTGTACGGTCTGGTTATTTAGGGACTCAGACCTCAGTCTTCCTGGTTCTCTGTCTTGTTAGGTCTTGAAAGCCCCAATTTTTGTGATCTGAGTGCAAGCAACCTGTGTTTTAAATTAGTTTTATTAGGACACTGAGTTTATAGAGTGAATTTATCTGTCTAGATTTATCATGCTAAAATGATAAGAGAAAATTTGGACTACAGAAATATTGGGAACGTAATTATGAGTCTGTCTTTCCCCCTATTTTCTGCACTGGTAGTTTATTTTTTCTTGAACAACAAAGGCTATTTATTTATAAAATGTTACCTTTATAAGATCAATTTTTTTACTAACTTTTTAAAATAATCTAGTTTTAAAAAATATGCATAACCAGAGAATTAATACTTTTAACTTTTGCTTTCTATTTACTGCTACTAACTTGAAAATTTTAGATGTGATTTTTTTCCTGAATGTATTTCCCAAAATTTTGTTAAAAAACAAAATGTTCTAGAGTTTGTTTCTTTACTATTTTCATTCTAGATAGTTTATCCCCTGTAAAATTTTGTGTCCAGTTGACCACTGAACAACTTGGGGTTTAGATGCACCTACCCCTGCTCAGTTGAAATCCACATCTGCTATCTCTGCCTCAAAAACAAAGTAATTGATAAATGACTCACTCAAGCTGAAAGTTTGGATTAGAATCAGGACTCAAACTATAGTTCTTTTGATTCCACATATTGTGATCTCTAATTGAACACGAACTTTTCCCCACAGTTTGCTAATTTAAAGATCTGTAAAATGAAAATACAGATACTGTATTTATCGAAAAATATCCACATATTAGTGGACCCACACTGTTCAAACCCATATTGTTCAAGGGTCAACTGAATCTCTTTTCTATCTCCACAGACTACACATCTATTTTATGTTTTATTAATGATTTACATATTCATAAAATATAATAAAATGTATTATTTTGAAAGCACTACAAATTTGATTTGTTCCTATCTGTTTAATCTTGTGGTGATTTTTTAAAAGAATTTTTATGTTGTTTAGACTTTGTTTCAGGTTAAGAGAATTTTAGAGGTCCATAGGATAGAATTTAGTATTTTTTTAACCCATTTGAACTTTTTAATTATATGCTCCATTTTCATTATTTCTTTTCTGGTTATCACAGGAAATTCTTTTTCTATTTACTCGTACCAAGAATCTGTCTACTCACATAGTTACAGCCAAGTATGTTAAATATAGTTTTATAATTCCTTTTGGTCAAGAAGAAGATAGTTTAAATATTGTAATAACAGGAATCAGTAGGACATTTAGTAACTCCGCCCTTAATCAAGTATGTGATATTGCACAGTACTTTCTTTTTAATAATTAGATTCACATCACCTTCTTTTCTGCTTTTTATTGAATTGCAATATCATTGGCTTTTTTTCTTCTTTTCTCTTACTTTATCTCTGTAGATATTAGGATGCAGTTTTCACATTTGAATGTGTTTACCTGCCTAACATAAATGTCTAACATTTATGTTAGAAATTGACAGTAAATGTCCACCAGCCCAAGATGGTGATGTAAATGAGTCAATAGGGTTGGTATGAAAATGTGGCGTTGCAGGTACTGGGAGGAACCAGAAAGTACATGTTCCATCTTCAGAAATTCAAACTGAAAATTGAAAGTACAGTTGTCCCTCAACATCTGCAGAAGATTGGTTCCAGGAGCCCCACCATATACCAAAATCCACAGATGCTCAAGTCCCTTATATAAAGTGGCATAGTATAATGAATACTGTGGTCGCTTTGTATCCAAGGATGCTAATCCAAGAATATGGAGGGATGACTGTATATTTATTGAAAAAAAATATAAGTGGACCTGTGTAGTTCGAACCTGTGTTGTTCAAGGGTCTACTGCCTTCTGCAAGGTAAACAAAACAGTAATACATGTCAGATCAGGCCCAGGGACAGTCTGTGAACTCTGGTTTACATATTCTTATCTTCATACATCTACCCAAGATATTTAGTTTTTAAACAGGTTTTGTTCCTACTCTGAGGTATTTTGGGCTAAAAATAACTTTCAGTTTGTCTTTCAGAAGTAAAATATACATTACCAATCAAATGAGAAAAGTATGACCTTTTCAAAATATTGTTTAGAAAGGATTATTGATATGCAAATTTATTCTTTCTGAAATATTCATATAGCAACCTTGTTAAAAAAAAAGTATAGACATGCTTCCTTTAAATTTTGCAGTGAACCCAAAACTGCTCTAAAAAATAAAGTTTATTAATTTTAAAGAAACTTCAAAAAAATAGAGCAATTTTGATCTATTCATTTTTTTGTTAAACAGAATTTTTTCTCTTTAAACCCTAAATGAATATGCATTAATAGAAACATTGGTATATTCTACCTTCATCATGGCTTGGACCTAACAATCTAGAACCTCTGGGCTCCCTTTCATATCAACTGTATTGCTTGGATTTCTGTTTTTTTCTTCATTTCTTAACTTTGAGTAAGTTTTCAAAACTCAAAGTAACTTATTTAAAGCAGTTAATTACCAACGATACTCATCTTGCCCCAAAGTTTTGATTTACAATTCTGGAGTTGATTGTGATGACTTAATCTCCACTTATGTCAGATGGCTCTTTAATATATAGAAGGTTAAAAAAAGTACATAAATTTCAAATGGGTTAAGGAATTGTGTACACTATTACTGCTTTGTCATTAAACTAAATGAGGTATTAAAGTCTTAAGACCATAGCTATAATGAGATAGAGAACTCAACCATAACTGTATGACTAAAAAAAAAATACTAATTGATGATGCCTTCTTTTCAATTGTCCAAAATAGCCTTGTTTCATGTGGTGTTTTTAATTGAGTTATAACAGTTCTTTGTTTTCTTTCTGTTTTTATAGATATAGGACTCTTTAACTTGTAGAACTTTTTACTTTATTAAACATGTATATTCTAGTAATTAGGTCTCCTTCTTTTACCCTCACAAAACAAGCCCAATAAGTATAATACTGCTTATCCTGTGGTTGATTTTAAAACTCTCTTTTTTCTTTTACTTTTTATTCTGAACTATATCTGTTTTAAACTGTAGAATAAGGAAATATTTTAAGCAAACACTGAAGGCTGAAAGCAGTTTTCTATTGATAATGAAATTATATTTTCTGAAAGGAGAAACTACGTAACTGTGGTTATATTACATGAAAAATCATGATGAAAATTGAGAGATAAGTGACAGACTTTGTGTTTTTGTTTTTTTTTCCTTTTTTTAGTAACCAATACTGTGTAGTAATCACTGTATGTTTGCATTGAACAAGACAGAGTCCCTGCACTTTGGACCAGACTGACACATTTTTTCCTTAGGTTTTTCTCAGATATTGAGTGATTTTGCAGCTAAAGAAATTTAACACATTTTCCTATTAGAATGAATTTCATCAAACAAATGAGGTAAACCTTAGTAGTTTTCTGTTGTTCATGTGATATATTTCTTTGAACATCATGATTCCTAAGAGAGAAATTTTGATTTTAATTATTACTCTTAGCAAAGGATGTATAAGAATTAAGGAAAATACTATATACATTATGCTTAAATATATATTTATCTAATATTTTAGCTGGGAAGTTTTAAGATTTCTTCTGTCAAACATAAGATGGTGGTTGGAAGAATATGGATTTGATGGATTTCGTTTTGATGGTGTTACATCCATGCTGTATCATCACCATGGAATAGGTAGGTAACCTGATACATTACAGATGTAACTAATGATTTTATTTTATTTTTTACTGGAAGATTACAACCAGGCTTGGGGTTCAGATATGTCGCTGCAGTAACCATTATTGTTGGATTGATTTTTTATTAGTTCCATTGTGTATGTCTTTTCTCTAATCACTTCTGATCCCTTTTTGGCAAGAGATTGGGTCAAATACATTTTATGAGTAAATAAAATATAATGATTTTCTTTGAAATATATCTACTTAATAATATGCTCTCTTTAATATGTAGCATTCTTTTAAAAATGTTTTTTTAAGGATAACATTTATTACAGCACCCTCAGGCCGTGAACATGAGAGCATTTGTAATGAAAAATAAATAACAAAAATAATAAATGAGAACATTTGTTAATGTATGGGTTCCTTTGCATATTAAACATTGAAGAAAATATGTATATTTTAAATATAGATGTGCTCAGTTAAAATTAAATTGTAAATTAATCTGTAATTAAAAATATGGATCAAAGATCTTCAGTTAAAAAGTTGTACAGAGAAGTGGGATCACAGAATCCTAATCCTTCAATTGATAACATGGAGAATAATTATTATTTTTTTAATGACCAAATATTTACTGGCAACAACCAATCCAAAACATTCACTTTAGAGTATAAATCAAAAAGTGGCTGCCAAGGAAAGATGCTATATTCAAAGTGTGCTGTTAACTGCTCTCAGTCAAGATGCTGGCCACATGAAACATTCCTAGGGAAGAAGTTGAATCTATAAGACATGACAGGTTTCATTGATATCTTCCACTTTGGAGAGAAGCTGACTTAGGGGATGAAAAAGGCAAGCAAGGCAAAATTCAAAAAGATCCTCTCCTAGATTAAAACACCTACATGCCCCAGCAGAACCTCGCTGTGCTGAGGGCTAGGTATTTTCCAAGGAATTGTGGAGTTGATGAAATGAACTGAAATCCATGGATATGGGATATGCTTTTTATGGGTACAGGGTCCAAGAAATGGTAAAGAAAAACATTCTGAGTTACTTAGCATACTTTCCCACTTTGAGATGAGGATAATAACAAATACTGAGACAGTAGACATTCTTCAAGATGGCGGAGTAGAAGGATGTGCTCTCACTCCGTCTTGCTAGAACACTGGAATCACAACCAACTGCTGAACAATCATCAACAGGAAGACATTGGAACTCACCAAAAAAGATACCCCACATCCAAAGACAAAGGAGAAGCCACAATGAGATGGTAGGAGGGGTGCAATCACAATAAAATTGAATCCCATAACTGCTGGGTGGGTGAATCACAAACTGGAGAACACTTATACCACTGAAGTCTACCAACTGGAGTGAAGGTTTTGAGCCCCACGTCAGGCTTTCCAACCTGGGGGTCTGGGAACGGGAGGAGGAATTTGTAGAGAATCAGACTTTGAAGGATAGCAAGATTTGATTAGAGAACTTCGACAGGACTGGGGAAAACAGAGACTCCACTCTTGGAGGGCACACACAAAGTAGTGTGCGCATCGGAACCCAAGGGAAGGAGCAGTGACTCCAATAGGAGACTGAACCAGACCTACCTGCTAGCCTTGGAGGGACTCCTGCAGAGGTGGGGTGTGGCTGTGGCTCACCACGAGGATAAGGACACTGGTAGCAGAAGTTCTGGGAAGTACTCCTTCATGTGAGCCCTCCCAGAGTCCGCCATTAGCCCCAACAAAAAGCCCTGGAAGGCTCCAGAGTTGGGTCGCCTCAGGCCAAACAAACAACAGGGAAGGAACCCAGCCCCACCCATTAGCAGACAAGGGGATTAAAGTTTTATTGAATTCTGCCCACCAGAACAACAGCCATCTCTACCCACCACCAGTCCCTCCCATCAGGAAACATGCACAAGCCTCTTAGATAGCCTAATCCAACAGAGGGCAGAGAGCAGAAGCAAGAAGAACTACAATCCTGCAGCCTGTGGAACCAAAAACACATTCACAGAAAGATAGACAGGATGAAAAGGCACAGGGCTATGTACCAGTTGAAGGAACAAGATAAAACCCCAGAAACCAACTAAATGAAGAGGAGATAGGCAACCTTCCAGAAAAAGAATTCAGAATAGTGATAGTGAAGATAATCCAGGAACTAGGAAAAAGAATGGAGGCAGAGATTGAGAAGATGCAAGAAATGTTTAAAAAAAAACCTAGGAGAGGGGGCTTCCCTGGTGGCACAGTGTTTGAGAGTCCACCTGCTGATGTAGAAGACGCGCGTTCATGCCCAGGTGCAGGAAGATCCCACATGCTGCGGAGTGGCTGGGCCCATGAGCCATGGCCGCTGAGCCTGTGTGTCCGGAGCCTGTGTTCCACAACGGGAGAGGCCACAACAGTGAGAGGCCCGCGTACCGCAAAAAAAAAAAAAAAAAAAAAAGACCTAGAAGAATTAAAGAACAAACAAACAGAAATGAACAATATAATAACTGAAATGAAAAATACACTAGAAGGAGTCAATAGCAGAATCACCGAGTCAGAAGATCGGATAAGTGACCTGGAAGACAGAATGCTGGAATTCACTGCTGTAGAACAGAATAAAGAGAAAACAATGAAAAGACATGATGACAGTCTAAGAGACCTCTGGGACAACATTAAACGCAGCAACATTGGCATTATAGGGGTCCCAGAAGGAGAAGACAGAGAGAATGGACCCAACAAAATATTTGAAGTGATTATAGTCAAAAACATAGCTAACATGGGAAAGGAAATAGCCACCCAAGTGCAGGAGGCACAGAGAATCCCATACAGGATAAACCCAAGGAGAAACACACTGAGACACATAGTAATCAAATTGGCAAAAATTAAAGACAAAGAAAAATTATTGAAAGCAGCAAGGGAAAAACGACAAATAACATACAAGGGAACTCCTATAAGGTGAACAGCTGATTTCTCAGCAGAAACTCTACAAGTCAGAAGGGAGTGGCATGACATATTTAAAGTGATGAAAGGGAAGAACCTACAACCAAGATTACTCTACCCGGCCAAGATCTCATTCAGATTTGATGGAGAAATCAAAAGCTTTACAGACAAGCAGAAGCTAAGAGTATTCAGCACCACCAAACCAGCTGTAGAACAAATGGTATAAAACTTCTGTAAGTGGGAAGAACAGGAAAAGAAAAGGAACTACAAAAAACAAACCCAAAACCATTAAGTAAATGGTAATAGGAACATACATATCAATAATTACCTTAAATGTGAATGGATTAAAAGCTCCAACCAAAAGATACAGGATTGCTGAATGGATACAAAAACAAGACCCATATAGGCTGTCTACAAGAGACCCACTTCAGACCTAGGGACACATACAGACCGAAAGTGAGGGGATGGAAAAAGATATTCCATGCAAATGGAAATCAGAAGAAACCTGGAGTAGCAGTACTCATATCAGATAAAATAGACTTTAAAATAAAGAATGTTACAAGAGACAAGGAAGGACACTACATAATGATCAAGGGATCAATCCAAGAAGAAGATATAACAATTATAAATGTATATGAACCCAACATAGGAGCACCTCAATACATAAGGCAACTGCTAACAGCTATAAAAGAGGAATTTGACAGTAACACAATAATAGTGGGGGACTTTAACACCTCAACACCAATGGACAGACCATTCAAACAGAAAATTAATAAGGAAACACAACCTTTAAGTGACACAATAGACCAGAAAGATTTAATTGATATTTATAGGACATTCCATCCAAAAACAACAGATTACACCCTCTTCTAAAGTGCGTGCGGAACATTCTCCAGGATAGATCACATATTGGGTCACAAATCAAGCCTCAGTAAATTTAAGAATATTGAGATCATATCAAGCCTCTTTTCTGACCACAACGCTATGAGATTAGAAGTGAACTAAAGGGAAAAAAACGTAAAAAACACAAACACATGGAGGCTAAACAATACGTTACTAAATAGCCAAGAGATCACTGAAGAAATCAAACAGGAAATCAAAAAATACCTAGAGATAAATGACAATGAAAACACGACGATCCAAAATGTATCGGATGCAGCAAAACAGTTCTAAGAGGGAAGTTTATAGCTATACAAGTCTACCTCAAGAAACAAGAAAAATCTCAAATAAACAATGTAACCTTACACCTAAAAGAACTAGAGAAAGAAGAACAAACAAAACCTAAAGTTAGCAGAAGGAAAGAAATCATAAAGATCAGAGCAGAAATAAATGAAATAGAAAGAAGGAAAACAATAGCAAAGATCAATAAAACTAAAAGCTGGTTCTTTGAGAAGATAAACAAAATTGATAAACCATTCGCCAGACTCATCAAGAAAAAGAGGGAGAAGACTCAAATCATTAAAATTTGAAATGAAAAAGGACAAGTTACAACAGACACCGGAGAAATACAAAGCATCCTATGAGACTATTACAAGCAACTCTATGCCAATAAAGCGGACAACCTGGAAGAAAAGGACAAATTCTTAGAAAGGTATAACCTTCCAAGACTGAACCAGGAAGAAATAGAAAATATGAACAGACCAATCACAAGTAATGAAATTGAAACTGTGATTAAATATCTTGCAAGAAACAAAAGTCCAGGACCAGATGGCTTTACAGGTGAATTCTACCAAACATGTAGAGAAGAGCTAACACCCATCCTTCTCAAACTCTTCCAAAAAATTGCAGAGGAAGGAACACTCCCAAACTCATTCCATGAGGCCACCATCACCCTGATACCAAAACCAGACAAAGATACTACAAAAAAAGAAAATTACAGACCAATATCACTGATGAATATAGATGCAAAAACCCTCAATAAAATACTAGCAGACAGAATCCAACAGCACATTAAAATGATCATACACCATGATCAAGTGGAATTTATCCCAGGGATGCAAGGATTCTTCAAAACACGAAAATCAATCAAAGGAGTAAACCATATTAACAAATTGAAGAAGAAATACCATATGATCATCTCAATAGATGCAGAAAAAGCTTTTGACAAAATTCAACACCCATTTATGATAAAAAATCTCCAGCAAGTGGGCATACAAGGAACCTACCTCAACATAGTAAAGGCCATATATGACAAACCCACAGCACACATCATTCTCAATGGTGAAAAACTGAAAGCATTTCCTCTAAGATCAGGAACTAGACAAGGATGTCCACTCTCACCACTATTATTCAACATAGTTTTGGAAGTCCTAGCCATGGTAATCAGTGAGGAAAAAGAAATAAAAGAAATACAGAATGGAAAAGAAGAAGTAAAACTGTCACTGTTTGCAGATGACATGATACTCTACATAGAGAATCCTAAAGATGCCACCAGAAAACTACTAGACCTAATCAATGAATTTGGAAAAGTTGCAGGATACAAAATCAATGCACAGAAATCCGTTGAATTCCTATACACTAATGATGAAAAATGTGAAAGAGAAATTAAGGAAACACTGCCATTTGCCATTGCAACAAAAAGAATAAAATACCTAGGAATAAACCTACCTAAGGAGACAAAAGACCTGTATGCAGAAAATTATAAGACACTGATGAAAGAAATTAAAGATGATACAAACAGATAGAGGGATGTACCATGTTCTTGGTTTGGAAGAATCAATATTGTGAAAATGACTATACTACCAAAGTAATCTACAGATTCAATGCAATCCCTTTCAAATTACCAATGGCGTTTTTTACAGAACTAGAACAAAAAAATCTTAAAATTTGTTTGGAGACACAAAAGACCCCAGATAGCCAAAGCAGCCTTTAGGGGAAAAAATGGAGCTGGAGCAGTCAGGCTCCCTGACTTCAGACTATACTACAAAGCTACAGTAATCAAGACAATATGATACTGGCACAAAACCAGAAATATAGATCAGTGGAATGGGATGGAAAGCGCAGACATAAACCCACGCACCTATGGTCAACTAATCTATGGCAAAGGAGGCAAGGATATACAGTGGAGAAAAGGCAGTCTCTTCAATAAGTGGTGCTGGGGAAAGTGGACAGCTACATGTAAAAGAATGAAATTAGAGCACTCCCTAACACCATACACAACAATACACTCAAAATGGATTAGAGACCTAAACATAAGACTGGGCACTATGTAACTCTTAGAGGAAAACATAGGAAGAACACTCTTTGACGTAAATCACAGCAAGATCTTTTTTGATCCGCCTCCTAGAGTAATGAAAATAAAAACAAAAATAAACAAGTGGGACCTAATGAAACTTCAAAGCTTTTGCACAAGAAAGGAAACTATAAACAAGACAAAAAGACAACCCTCAGAATGGGAAAAAATATTTGCAAACGAATCAATGGACAAAGGAGTAATCTCCAAAATATATAAACAGCTCATGCAGCTCAACATTAAAAAAACAAACAACCCAATCCAAAAATGGGCAGAAGACCTAAATAGACATTTCTCCAAAGAAAGTATACAAATGGTCAAGATGCACATGAAAAGCTGTTCATCATCACTAATTATTAGAGAAATGCAAATCAAAACTACAATGAGGTATCACCTCACACCAGTTAGAATGGGCATTTTCAGAAAATCTACAAACAACAAATGCTGGAGAGGGTGTGGAGAAAAGGGAACCCTCTTTCACTGTTGCTTGAAATGTAAATTGATACAGCCACTATGGAGAACAGTATGGAGGTTCCTTAAAAAACTAAAAATAGAATTACCATATGACCCAGCAATCCCACTACTGGGCATATACCCAGAGAAAACCATAATTCAAAATGATACATGCACCCCAATGTTCATTGCAACACCGTTTACAATAGCCAGGTCGTGGAAGCAACCTAAATGCCCACCAACAGACAAAATCCTCCCTTTTCTTCAGAGGGATTGAATAGGAGCTAGCTAACGTTAAGATCTCTTAGTGTGACAAAAAATGTATCTAAAACAAAATTTATGAATCTCTTTGGTCTCATTTTTTATTTTTTAATTTATTTCTTTTATTTATTTATTTTTTGGCTGCGTTGGGTCTTGGTTGCTGCGTGTGGGCCCTCTCTAGTTGTGACGAGCGGGGGCTGCTCTTATTTGCGGTGCATGGGCTTCTCATTGCATGACCTCTCCCGTTGCAGAGCACGAGTTATAGGCATGCAGGCTTTAGTAGTTGTGGCACTCAGGCTCAGTAGTTGCGGCTTGCGGGCTCCAGAGCGCAGGCTCAGTAGTTGTGGCACACGGACTTAGTTGCTCCACAGCATGTGGGATCTTCCCGGACCAGGGATTGAACCCGTGTCCCGTGCATTGGCAGGCATATTCCCAACCACTGTGCCACCAGGGAAGCTGGCTTCTCTTTGGTATCATTTTGCTTCATATTTCTCCTGTAAAATTTACTTCTAATTAAATTAAAATTGTAAATCACAGGGTTTTTGTTTGTGTTTGTAAAACAAAAATTGAATTGCAGGATTGTCTGAACTTTGAATGTAGATATGGAGTACTTTTGTAAGTTAAATCATATAATTGCTGGCTCATGACATTTTGCTATGATAACAAAACTGATATCAACCATCTAATTGGTGGAGGCATTTGTGCAGAGTTAAGACTTACATGCTAACATGATGCATCCATATTGGTTTTCTGTTCTCTAGGTCAGAATTTTTCCGGTGACTACCATGAGTATTTTGGACTACAAGTAGATGAAGACGCTTTGACCTATATCATGTTGGCAAATCATTTGGTTCACACGCTGTATCCAGATTCTATAACAATAGCTGAGGTAAAGCTATAATGATCTCTACCCTCTGACCTCCTTTAAAATAGAACATTTTATCAGCATACAATATTTGAATGATCTCTATGTTGTCAGTAATTGCATAAGTAGAATTATACCCTGACTATAGTGCAGCTACCTTGTGTGGGTGGCACATTATTCAGAATTCACTGTTTTCCTATTATCAGATAACGTACCCTAATTACTTGTCATTATTCCATTGTTAAAAAAGAAACTGCCAGTGGTTAGAAAGTAAAATACCCTAATCAGTGGACAGGTCCTTTTGCCATGTGACCTTCAGCACAGAAAAGAATTGAATATTAATATGCGTCTGGCTATTTAAGTTTTTTTTTCCTTTCTGGTTAAATCATTAGAGATGGCATGGATCACTGCCTGCGAGCTTCTCTGAAACCTCTCTTGTTCTGATGCGATTACCTTTCTTGTTTATGTTATTGCTCTGAAATTGCCAAATGTTCACTAGTTATTCATGATTACTGAAGGTTCATGATTAACTGTCCCAAAGCTGCACTGTAATGATATAATTCGGTATATGCATAATTGACAATTCCCCTCTTGGTGATAAATTTGATAAATTAAGAAGTTTGTTAAATGCTTATGCTAATTTATATTTAGTAGTAAAGTCCCTCTGGTTTTGTGAGTCCTCTAACTAAGAATTATTATTAAAATTGAACTTAGTGTGTTAAAACTGTTCTATACAAAGTGTAGTGATTGGCATATAAAAGTAGTAAGACTATTGAAAGAGTCAGAGTTAAGGTGTATTTTCACATTTTTGGCATTTTGTTCATTGGAATGATATGCAGTAGTGACAGTCTCCTTCCTGTAGTGTTTATTATTTGTATAGCCTTTTTTCTATACATCATTTCTCAAAACTCCAAATCTCAAACTAGGTGATATGATTTCCTGGTTTATCTCTGGATCGAGAACAGAGACCTTTTGCCTCCTAAATATCTTCTAGGGATAGAGCAATAGATCCTAAATTCCTGGAGTAAATTTTCATATAAAATTTAAAAACCCCACAATTACAATGCCATTTTGATACTCTGTATTGTTTCACAATCTCTACCTACCTATATTTGGTCATAACTTATAAGTCTTTTTAGTACTTATGCTAACACTTTCTGTGCTGAATATTTTTTAATGTAAATTAGTACTTTTAAACTTTTATTTTGTCTTTATATATTTTAATATTATCTGTTAAACATCAAAAAAATTAATTAGTTTTGTCAATTATATTTATGGCAATTTGAAGCCGAGACATTATATATAACAAATTACTACAAACAATTAATGACAGCACAAATCAGAAGTGGGTACTGAAGAAAAAGAAGTAATTATTTAATACATGAAACTTAAAATTGTTACATTGATCTTTCCATTCATTTCAAGTAAAATAGTTTCATCATCTAGGGAGCTCTTGTATGATTATCAGTGTTTCTACCAAGGAAACTTGGAGACTTTAGCCTACTTTATATTACTTGGTTTTAGATATTTTTAAAACAAGAAGTATCTTCAATTTATTCTACTTAAATTGAAAACTACTTCAATTTCAATACATCACTTTTCTGTCTAGTGAGAGTCTCTTCAGAATGTGGAATTGATCCTCATGAACTTTATTTTTTAAGAAAGGAATGTGGTGTAATGAATAAGTAATGCAATGTTATAATAAAGTCCTGTAGTAGAAATTTGAATTTATTTATAATAATAGTTATTAAAATTGAAGCCTTTTTTCTGTATATCTACTATTATACATGGTTATATTTGCTGTATTAATTAAAAATATTTTTTTGACAACTGAGGCTTTTTACCCCTCTGGAATAGTCATGAGTCATCTTTAGATATTAAAGAATTAAAACTATTTTAACTTCATTTGAAACATACATGATCATTTTAATATCCTATGTCAGTAAGCATCAACTCTTTTATATTTAAAGCATATTTATTTTAGTGACCATTATGTTTACTTTTTTTTTTCTTTTAAGATTTTAAAAGAATAGTCATTAACTCTGTACTTCCAGAAGAGAACTAGAAATATCTCATATGCATTAATGGGGCAGCCTTCTAGTAGTCAGATTTAGGAGTTAAGACCAATTGGTGTCCAAATATTTTTCTTAGCAGATTCTATTTCCTTTCAAACTATTTGCTAAAACTACCTGTAGACCGAATATAGACTGTACCTTAATGTTTTCTTGAGAAAAATTATCTTGATCTTTAATGTCATCTTATCACCAGTCTTAGGAAAACTCTGGGTCTTACGAAAATTCTTTTGGGAAGGCATTGTGTCCGTAATTCCAGTGCCTAACACAGGTGCCTGAGATTAATACATATTCAGCCAGTGTTTATAAGGAATTGAACTGAATACCTATCATATCTGTGAAAATGTGACATATTTTGATAAATATAATTCTTTTAAAATGGTTTCTTTTCTGTTAAACATTCATCCTTTTTCACTTTTTTTAATTCATCTTTTTTCACTTTTATAAACTATAAGGAAGTATGTAGAAATAAGATATTATTGACGAATACTTTCTTATGGATGTATTCCACCATGTACTATACTTAACTGTAGCTCCCTTCCGTTAGAAAACAATTAATACATATTTTGGAAGTCCAGAGAGGTCATATGTTTCTTTTTATCCAGCTTTTCTGTGGGACAAGTTTGAGGATGAGGTGTTGTGGAAGAAGAAGCAGTTAAGTCTCAGAGAGCTCAGAGTATGTGATAGTCTTTCATAGGAAGTAAGGAAAATGATCCAAAGAAGAATTTGGGCAATGACACACACAGAAAAGCTTGTGACAAGTACAGGCAAGAGTAAATGTTTCAAAGTGGATGAGGTATTGAATATTTGAAATGAAATAGTAAAAATAACGATGGAAAGATAGAGGTCTCTTACTTGCACTTTCTGTGTACTTCAGCTAACAATTATGACAGCCACGCACGTTGTCATTTCGTGATAAGTGTATGTGTGTGCATGTTCATTTAGGTCCTAGTTCATGAATCCAGCAAGTCAAGTATTATGTCTTATGTATCTTGAAATCCTTGGCAGCACCTTCATGCATTCACTCAGCAGGGAGTTACTGAGTTCCTGCCTTATGCCAGCGACTCTTCTACTATTCTAGATTCCTGGCATATGTCAGTGGACAATGGCAACAGCAACAGCAACAAAAGTCCTGCTCCATGGATCTTAAATTTTAACAGTGAATGAGGAAGCCGATAATCAAATAGTGAACTATATTGTCAACACTTAAAGTATAATTGTTGAATTATATCTTAAATTGAAGAATTTGAGTTTTTTATTGTTGGCTATTGAAAGCTATTGGCAAGCAGTGATAGGAGCAGACTCTTCAGCAGCAATTAGGGTAAAGAGAAACTGGAGATGGGGAACTTTGGAAATATAGTGGTTGAAGCAAACAGTAATGTAGGTTAAATAAGATAGTGTCTGTAGAAATGGAGCAAAGGAAAAGAATTTATTGGAAAGATATTGTAGAGTTAGAATTACTAGTACTTGTCCCATATTTTACCACAGTTGTTATAATAATGTATTTTGTTGCATCTGGGTCCTTGTACCATTATTTTTTTACTTATCTGTTTGATTGTATATTTATTTGATTACTGACAATCTAGTGGTGTCATGACAGTAGGAAGATCCTGTCAAAAGGCCAGATGTCTGAGTCCTGGCTCTGCCATGGAGAAACATGTCTTTAGCGATCCCTTCACCTCAATAAGCCTCGATTTCTGTATCTTCTAAATGAAGAGAATCCACTAGATAACCTCAAAGACCATTTCCAAGTGTAACTGACTATAGTGAAAGCCATCTTGCTGCTTCGCTCTTAGTGTGCTAACTCTACTTTCCATTTCATCAGAAGCTAAGTTCTCACAAAATACACTATATGTCCGTGCTGTATACAAAGAGAACAAGAATAACAGATATATGGCACATGCATTTTTATGTTTGATGAAAGCAGTAGTTAATATAGTACTCAAAAATTAGTATAAGAAGCTATGTTTCAACAATAACACTTTTACTATTTTGTGTTCTCTATGTGCTACTAAGGAAAAGAGATCAAATTTGTCCTGAAATGAAAAGCATTACACAAAATCTTATTGGGAAATGAGATACATTATCACAATTTTATCTACTTTTACAGTTATGCTACCAAAGTACTCCAAGAGTATTCGCCCCTATTTATTGTTTGTATTTATTGGCCTGGATTTTACTGTCAGAAGAATGTATAGTAAAAGTTTAAGCAATATGAACTGATAATTCTGATGCTCTTTATTTTAGGATGTATCAGGAATGCCAGCTCTGTGTTTTCCAATTTCCCTGGGAGGGGGTGGCTTTGACTATCGATTAGCCATGGCAGTTCCAGATAAATGGATCCAGGTAAGGTTTCATGTAAAAATTTTTTTTCCTGCGGATACTATGTATTATGTTGGTTTATTTATTATTTCTTTGATTTATTTCTTGGTTGTGATCAGTAGTTACAGATATAATTGAAGTATTCTCTCATTAGTGTGTTGCTTCTTGTGCTTTTTAATAAGGTGCCTCTCAAACTTCTAAAAGTTCTAATTTAAAGTATTCACACTTGCATTATGCAGGCACAGAGAAAATATGATTGATATAATGTTAGCTGTGTAAATGGAATTTTGCCTTATCAATGCAATTATATGAAAGTTTGGTGTTCTATATTTAAAACACATTAAACTTCATCAATGCATCCATTTCTGCCTGCAAATCATCAATTAATGTAGAAGCCACTCCTTAATTCCCAGTACTTGCTTCATAGTATGGTTTTTTTCTCAACAGATTTGGATTTATCCATTCCTTCATTTAGCATTTAAAAGTCCTTACCATGTGTTAGGCACTAGGAATGAATAATTGTACATGACACCTTGCATATGATTTCTAATACAATTTTATTAAATTTAATGACAGTTCAAGTAGTTTGGATTATATTTTGTTTCATTTTATGTTTGTCTAAAAGACTAAAGTTGTTACATAGATTTGATGTAGAACATTTCTGAGTGGCCAAGTCTTTAATTATAGGCTGAATATGTATAAGGAGTCAGATACGTATCAAATAATCATTGCTTTCTGTTAAGCCCTTTAGTACAGACATGAACAGGTGCCATGAGATCACAACGGTAGAAGAGCTTAACTTTGCACAGAAAAAACATAAAGCCTACTCTGAAGGAAATAGTTATTGTAATCATCTCTTTGCCTTTTCTGTATCCCTAGGCAATTTGGGCAGTGCGCAGCTGTGACATTAAAACTCTACCAGCACAACTTCCGCTTCTCCATCTATAATGATTTCCTAAACATTGTCAGGTCGAAAAGCAAGGGTTTTACAGAGGCGATTAGACTTAGAAATCAAAGGAACAAACAAATGTGTGTTCCACCTTTAATACCTGGGAAAGTTGCTTTGTATTTGTTACCTTAAAAAAATGCTGTGGTCTTCAAGTTTCTTACCTTAGTTGAAGGTTCTTTATCCACCCACCATCTTTTATTATTTCTAATCTTCCACACAGACTTTTTTCCCCTCACAAGTGCCAAATCTTACTTTTTTTTACTGAAAAGCCTTCACCAGTCTTTGGGCAAATTCCAGGATATTTCAAGGTGTACATCAACCTAGAATTATTTTCCAGTCAGTCATGGCTCACAGTAGGATATTTCCTTCTCTGAGCAATCATGTCAGGTTTTAAAAAAAATTTAACTTACTAAACATTTCAGTACCTTGTATGCTCAAGATACTATACTATGCAGTACGTCATATAAATAGAAAAAAATGTATTGTCCTCTGTTTAGGATATGGCCATCTTGTCTTTGTAGTTTGTAAAGCCTCTGAAGACAGATATCATCTTCTGTGTTATGTAATTACTTAACATCTTTTTTCATCACCGAAGTGGGAGCCTTAGTTAATAAGACGAGATAGCTAAAATAATATTTTTTTTAAAAACTCAGTGATTTTCCAGTCCTTTTATAATTTGTGCATTTAAAAAAAATTCCATAAATGATTATCATCCCTTCAAATGTCAATAAAACACACGAGTATTGATAGAAATGACAGCTACTCAGAATGTATGTGTCACGCATTTTATCTACACATAGAGTATGCATTAGATTAGAATGCTAGATTTCATTCATGTTTTTGTTGTTCAGAAACAAATTATTTACCATTTTCTACTTGTAGAGTTCAAAATCAGTAGTTTGGGATATCATATTAGTTTAGTCATTTACTGAACAAATATTTGCCTATCTAAAATATGCCAAATTTGCTGTATCTTCTTTCATTTTATTTGATCATTTTTATTATCTAATAACTGACGTGTTCATGTAAAGGTAATATAGGTATTTAATTGAATTCATTCATTTATTAATTCCACCAAATAGTTATTAAGCATCTGGTATTTTTCATTATATATAGTTTTTTTAATTACACTTTTTATATTAAGATAATTGTAGATTTCCATGCAGTTGTAAGAAATAATACAGTATGATCTGGTGAATTCTTAAACAGTATTCCCCAATGGTAACATCTTGCAAAGCTATAGTACAATATCACAACCAGGATAGTGATATGGACATAGTCAAGATATAGAACACTTCCACTACCACAAGTTTCCCAAATGTTGCCTTTATAACCACACGCACTTCCCTCTTCCCACAGTCACTCCTTAACTTTTGACCACCACTAATCTGATCTCCATTTCTATAATTTTTTCATTTCAAGAATGTTATATAAATGGAATTATACAGTATGTAACCTTTTGGAATTGCCATTTTTCACTCAATTGAATTCTCTGGGGATTTCATTCAGGTTCTTGCATGTATCAGTAGTCTATTCCTTTTCAACTTTAAAAAAAAAATTTTTATTGGAGTATAGTTGATTTACAATGTTGTGTTAGTTTCAGGTATACAGCAAAGTGAATCAGTTATACATATATCCACTCTTTTCTTAGATTCATTTCCCATATAGGCCATTACAGAGTACTGAGTAGAGTACCATGTGCTATACAGTAGGTTCTCATTAGTTATCTATTTTATATATAGTAGTGTGTATATGTCAATCCCAATTTCCCAATTTATCCCTCCCTCCCTTGCTTATCACCTGGTAACTTGAAGTTTGTTTTCTATATCTGTGACTCTACTTCAGTGTACTCCTTTTCATTGTTAAATGGTATTCCATGGCATGGATGTATCACAGTTTAATTATTTGTCCATTAAAAGACATCTAGATTGTTTCTAGGTTTTGGCTCTTGTAAAGAAAGCTGCTATAAACATTTGTGTACATATGTTTGTATGACCATAAATTTTCATTATTCTAGGATAAATGCCCCAAAGTACAATTACTGGGTCTTATAGTGGTTGGATGTTAATTTGTTAAAAAACTGCCAAAGTATTTTTCTGAGTAGCTATACTATTTTACATTTCCACCAGCCACTTTGGTGAGATCCAATTTCCGTACATCATTGAACAATAGCATTTGCTATTGTACTATTTTTTATTTTAATCATTCTAACAGGTGTGCAGAAGTACCTCACTATGGGTTTACTTTGTCTTTCCTTAATGACTGATGATAATGAACATCTTTTCCTGTGCTAATTTGCCTTCTGTATATCCTCTTTGGTGAAATGTCTGTTCATGTCTTTTGACCATTTTCTAATTGGATCATTTATTTACTGTGGAGTTTTGAGAGTTCTTTATATAGTCTAGATTCAACTCTTTTGTGGGGGGGTATGTGGTTGACAAATATTTTATCCCAGCCTTTGCTTGTCTTTTCATCCTCTTCATGTGGACTTGCACAGAACAAAAAGTTCTTTGTTTCCTTTAAATTTGATGAAGGCCAATTTGTTTTTTTTTTTTTCCTTTTAGAGATCTCTTTTGGTGACAAGCCTAAGAATTCTTTGACTCGCCTATGTTTTCTATTAAACATTTTATAGTTTTACTTTTATATTTAAACCCATAGTCCATTTGAGTTAGTTTTTGTTCAGTCAACGTGTAAGGTTTTTTTTCTGTTTTTCTTTTGCCTATAGATGTCTAACTCATTCAGCATGATTTGTTGAAAAGTCCATTGAACCTACTTCCATTGAATTGTTTTTACACAGTAGTTGAACTTAATTGAGCATATTTGTATAGGTCTATACATTAGTTTCAAACTGTTGCTGTATCTAAGTACCACAAACTTAGTGTCTTAAAATAACACAAATTTACTGTCATATAGTCACAAATCTGAAATGGGTCTTACTAAGCTAAAATCAAGGCATTAGTAAGGATGCATTCCTTCTGGAGGCTCTGTTTCCTTGACTTTTCTAGCTTCTAAAAGCCTGTAAAAGCATGGACCTGTATTCCTGTATTCCTTGGTCCATGGTCCCTTCCCCCATCCTCAAAGCCAGCAGGGTAGCATCTTCAAATCTCTCTCTTACTCTGACAATTCAGGCATCTTTTAAGAAAGATGACTGCAACTACATTCGGTCCCTCCAGGTAATCCAGGACAATCTACCCATTTCAATGTCCTTAACTTCAACATATCTCTAAAGTCCTTTTTGCCATGTAAGGTGACATATTCACAGACTCTGGGTATTAGGATGTAAACACCTGTGGGTGGCCATTAGTCTGCCTAATACAGCCTGTCCTCTGGTTCTCAGTGATTCACAATGCAATTATGCAGGATGGCTAAGCACCTCTGAATTCCACTGAGCCAAAAAAAAAAAAAAAAAAACATGCAAAGGAAGATACAGGCAGGCTGGAACCCCATTTCTTGTACCAAAATCTTCATTAATTTTCTATTGTGTAACAAACTACCACAAATTTAGCAACTTAAAGCGTTACTGTTATTATCTCACAGTTTCTTCTAAGGACACCCATTATATTCAAAGGACCCTCCCACACTCCAGGTTAAGGATTATACAAAGATGTGAATCTGAGGGAGCCGGAATCATAGGGGCCATTTTAGAATTCTGCTTCTATCAGCGTGCCATTGACACTTTTGGACAAGAGAAATGAACCCACTTAGAAAGAATGCGTTGAGTAAAAGGACAGGGTATTTTTACGCTATTAACTCTGAGCAGCACCAGCTTTTATAGGATAGGCAGAGGAAGGGATTTTACAGGATGTCTAGAGTGGTTGCAAAACAAAACAAAACAGTCAAGAGTTTCGCAATGGTAGACTAAGAAGGAAAGCATTTTATGGAAGGGGTAGGGTCAGCATTATCATCATATACTGCAAGCATTTGCCTAAGAAAGAGCAATTACTGACCTAGGAGACAATCATAGTCTGAGATTTTGGCAAGGTCATTTGCACTGAAGAGGTGTTAGTGGCACAGAAGCCACACTGGAGACTGAGTAGCAGCTGAAGTGGAAACAAAAATATGTGGTCTGTTAAGATGATAATTATTCATGATAATTAGGCTTTATACTTTGAAATAACAGTTGTTTTAATTTTTTTTTAACAATGGAACAAGGCATTATTCATGCTAATTTTTTTTTTTCATTCAAACCTAAAAATGTAGCAAGTATATCTCTACCTTGTGGAAGTTCCGGAAAGACATACTGCACAACACTTCACTGTGGTCATTAATCAAGAGGTAGCAGCTATTACAGAGGAAAAAGGTTACAAAAATCCTAAAATGCAGTGATCAAATCATCTGCAGAAAAACAAACACATGCACACACACATGCAACACCACTGTCATTTGGGTAGTCTGTATAAAAGCTGTGATTTCAGTAAAAGTTTTGACAAAGATATTTTTGCTCTGTGGGTGTGCTTATATCTGCATCTTAAATAATTTGGATTGATATGATGTATACCCTCAGACTGGGATTTAAAGTAAGGATGATAATGGTGTATTGGAATTATTTTTTGTCTTTTATTTAGTTACTTAAAGAATATAAAGATGAAGATTGGAATATGGGCAATATAGTGTATACACTCACAAACAGACGCTACCTTGAAAAGTGCATTGCTTATGCAGAGAGCCATGATCAGGTAAATTAATATGTGTATAAACCATTCTGTCTCTGTCTGTATTTATTAACATACCTAATTATAAACATATCACAGTACAAATTTCTATAGTTTAATACAGCTAATGTAATGTGTTATCTGTCTATTTTATGTGACAACTATTCATACTTGAAAAACATTTAAAAATTATTTTGTAGATCCATAAATTCCAGCTTCAAAATGCAGTACCACTTTTACCCTGCCAAACTGTAATTAAATGATTGTGAATGACAGTTTCAAGTGTTATCTTACATGTTTTCCTTTGTTGTCACAAGAGGAATGTTGGTGCTAATCCAGGTTAATTTTAATTTCCATTTTAGGTTTCCTTCTAAAGGTTTTCTTTTATGCCTTTTCACAAGCTTTCATCATTTTTTCTCTCAGTCACTGAAATCTTTTGCTGATTGATCGCCCTGACCTCTGTCCCTCTTGATTTTAGTCCATCCTCTGTAATGTAGTCTGAGGTATTTTCCAAAGGGCAAAGCTAATTTTGTCAACCCAGATCTTTTGGTTAAAGCTTCTCATTCACAGCCTGTCATATCCTGGCTCATGCCAAAGTTTATTCTCTGCTCAACTCTCCAAGAGTTCTATTCTTCAATACTGTTAAATTTCCACCCATTCCTGAGTAGGTCAACCTTGCTCCAATCTTGTACTTTTCCCCACACACCTGCAAATGCCTACGTCACCTGGGAAGCTCGTGTGAAGACCTAATGCCCTGGCTCAGACATACTCTCCTTGAAGCCTTCATACAGGTGTATAGGGAAAAAATAGTTTCCCCATTCTTCACTTTCTCATCACATTTTAAGCAGAAAATTTGCTTCTGATACCTTTGTATTTCCAGCCTTAGCACTGTGCTATTCCTCGTAGTCACTCAATAAACATAAATAAATGCAGGAAATGGCCATTCAGTTATATAAAGCCTATGAACCAGCATAAACAACATAAAATGAACTCCTTATACATTAAAAAGACAGTAAAACTGTCTGAAATTATTTGCAGTATGTGTATTCAGAAAATTAAAGTTAAACCAACAAGCTCCTCGGTATTTCAGCAGAAATTGACAATTTAAGGTAGACAGTAGTTTTTCAGGTGTCTCCTTGAACTGTTAAGAAAGTATAAGTAGACCAGAGGTCAGCTACCAAGGCCCATGGGCCAGATTCTGTCTGCTGCTTGTTTTTGTAAAGGTAATTGGAATACAGCCATGTTCATTCACTCACCTATTGTCTATGGCTGCTTTTGAGCCATAATGGTATATTTAAGTAGTTGAGACTGAGGAAGGAGCCCACAATGCCTACACTATGTACTGTTTGGCCTGTACAGAATGTTTGCTCACTCATAAAGTAGACATATATTAAGTTTTGCATCTTCCTAGTTGGAGCAGTACTTTCTTTTCAACTTAAATTGGCTGTGGAGCAAGATCAAACAAATACCTATGAGGAAACCAGAACCAAAACGTAACAAAATAAGAAATGAGTAGTATTAATTTAAGATTGGGGAAATCCCTTGCCAAATACATAACAATATGAAAATTAAAATGCATGCATAAATGATATCTTTCTATTACAAACTCCTAGCAGTTATAGCATGTTTTGAGCTCCCAATATATGTGTATTTTATATGAATGAATAAAAGAATAAATAAATGAGTGGAATAAACAAATTGAAGATGAAACTGGTAGGTTAATTTCATAATTTTTCTCCCCAAATGTACAGAAACAGTATGGATTTACCAAGAATTATTTCATACTTTAAAGATCCACATAATTCTGCCTTGTATTACAAATTGTTGGGAATGTACAAAAAGATGCAAATTGCCTAGTTCTTTCTATAAAAGCAAATGTATACTGAATTTTAAACCTGATAAAAAATTATAAATATGAATATATATGTGAAAATAGCTTAGAGATTAAAATAGGTTTATAAGTAAAAATATTTTTCTAAAAATGAAAATAATCATACAGTAATAGGGTGAGGAGATTATGGTTTGGTCTCTATGTTTCACTATATATAATTTTTTGTCAATAAATAACACTTGGCATTAGTTAGCTGTTTTTAACCATAAATAATTCAGATCGTTAAGAGGCCTCTTCTGCTGTTCAGGGTGTTTCTGAGTTAACCTGCCCCATTTGTCAACTATTATATTTTCATATAAAACAAACTAATTTTAGATTAGATGGCAAACATAATGAGAAAGCAAATTTTACATTTTAAGAAAAAGTTGTCAATTTGCTGCTGAAGGGGAGAGGGTCCATTGTAATATATTTATATACATATTATATATATAAATACATCTATATAAATATAAATGCATATACATATAAATTACTTTTAGGAAACTCTTCCATTCTTTCAAAACAATAGAATCATGATATGCAAGATATTTTAAAAAATCTATTAGTATTCTAATAGTTTAATGTAAGATTATGGGATTATATGAAATCATGTATGTGAAACTTTTGAAAATTGTAAAGCACTATAGAATTTAAAGAATTCATTCAATTAAAAAATTCATTGTTCAAATCCTAAAAAAAAGAAAAAATATCTGTTAGTATTCTCAACATTAAAATACATGTTTATTCTAACTTCAAAAAATGTGAAGCATCAGCTTATTATAACAAATATTCAGGTAGCTTATCTTGAGTTTTTCACCAAGCTATTTTAAAAATGAAAGAAGCATAGGTACATGAGAGCTCTCATGTATTTCACCAGCTCACCTTCAGCATAGTGACTGTTGGAAAATACATGAAACTAATATTAATTCACACACCTCTTCTGCACTGTTTCCATTCTGTATAATTGCATGTTATTCTAGTATAAATCACAGCTGCTTAGTACCTATTATTTGCATTTATCTCAGTGACTTTTATTTTTATAGGCACTCGTTGGGGATAAGACGCTGGCATTTTGGTTGATGGATGCTGAAATGTATACCAACATGAGTGTTCTAACCCCGTTTACTCCAGTTATTGATCGTGGAATACAGCTTCATAAAATGATTCGACTCATTACTCATGCACTCGGCGGAGAAGGCTATCTCAATTTCATGGGTAAGTATGAGCTGAACATATATCCAATCTGTGTTTAAAATGTTAACTAATATTATATATGACATAAGTTATGCAGAATATTTTGGTTTGGTTGTTCAGGTTTAAAATAGAAAATTATAACTTTATTTCTTTAAAGCACTGCCATTTTTACAGTGTAAACTGTAAAAATTAAATTGCTTTAAGATTATTGTTATACTAATACATGATGCAAAAGTAATCTAATGGCTGGTATTTTATTTAATATTGTTGTCAATAAGTGGGGTGAACTTTTCTTAAACAGAATTATTATTCTGAATTTAATCATTGAGTTTATTATTATAGTGTTTGTAATACATTGAACATAAGAAGGATATAATTGTCATGTCATATCGTATTGAGCTAATATTATTGGTCTTCTTTGAGGTAATTGTATACCAGTATACTTGTATTATAAATGTGGAAGCCAACGCCCAAGATACTGTGATGGACAAAAAAATGTATTTATTTTAAAAAATAGGAAAATATGAATATTCAAAGGTCATTGTTGTCTGAAGGATCTTGAATGATAAAACATAAAAATCAACTAATACCATTTTCAGTTCTATTTGGTCAACCATGACCATTTGAGTTTTAGGAAATTTCACCAGTTTTTAGGTTAGAGAGAGCTAGAAAGATTGGAAAATGCATATGGGAGACTGACATTTTTCTACAATAAAAGCTGTAGAGCTTCAGATTAATTCATTTCTATCTGGAAATTTTTATTAAAAAATCTCAGATTGGGGCTTCCCTGATGGCGCAGTGGTTGAGAGTCCGCCTGCCGATGCAGGGGACACGGGTTCGTGCCCCAGTCCCGGAAGATCCCACATGCCGCGGAGCGGCTGGGCCCGTGAGCCATGGCCGCTGAGCCTGCGCGTCTGGAGCCTGTGCTCCGCAACGGGAGAGACCACAACAGTGAGAGGCCCGCGTACCGCAAAAAAATCTCAGATTGGACTTTTAAAAGCCTCTGTTGTTTGCTAACTTGAGATTAGGAAGCCAGACCCAATAAACCATACACCAGATTTCACCCATACAACCTGTACCTTTCAGTGCATCCCTCTCCTCTCAGGATCACCAAAATTTGTTAATATTCCCAACCTGTCAGGAAGTGGCCCTTATGACCTGTGAGACGGCACTTTGTCTTTCAGGCACCAGGCTGGGCTTCCTGGGTGGACTTTGCAGGCATTGTATTCATAAGTAAAACCGGCCTCAGTTCCTAAAAGGCAACTAGTCCTCTTTCACACAATGAACATCATTCATGAGTGTGGCTTTTCCAGTAAGGCCTTAGTCGCACAGTTTATTCAATTATATCTTGATGAAAAGGTGAAGTCAATGAACTTAGGTAAACAACTATGTCACCATGTAAAGTGAGAGATTTTTTTAATGTTTTATTTCAGTTACAAAAGCAGGGTTTATTAAATTGTTGCAGTGTATATAGATAGATTAAAAAGAAAATGAAAGAGCTTCCTTATATATGTGGAAACTAAAACAACTTTCCTGTTAGAGAAATAAAATCAAAGAAGACCTCTGATTTCATTAGTCCTGTCATTAATTCTTGAAGCCCACTGCATCCGAGAATTCTAGTAATCCTGACTTAGCTTACTGCTTTAGTCTGGAAGTTGTGTAAGCAATATCAGCTCAGAAGCCTATAGCGAAGAGTTGAGAGTGTCAGTAGTTTGAAGTACCTGATAGAGTCCTTTTCCTGAGACTGTCCTTTGTTGAAGACAATTCTAGCCCGTAGCATGCAACAGAGCATCAGAGTAAAATAAAACTATCTGCAGGTGACATAGAATTAATGGCCCTAGTTAATTTAATATTGATAACTTTCAGATTAAAAAAGGTCTGATGGGGCTTCCCTGGTGGAACAGTGGTTGATAGTCCGCCTGCCGATGCAGGGGACACGGGTTTGTGCCCCGGTCCGGGAAGATCCCACATGCCGCGGAGCGGCTGGGCCCATGAGCCATGGCCGCTGAGCCTGCACGTCCGGAGCCTGTGCTCCGCAACGGGAGAGACCACAACAGTGAGAGGCCCGTGTACCGCAAAAAAAAAAAAAAAAAAAAAAAAGAAGTTCTGATGAAAGTTCATAATGAGAATTGAGTCTTGGTCAATATTTTCCCTGAGGGTAAAAATGGATCATGGACAGCTAAGATCTTAACAAATCTCCAGTAACTTCATAAATTTTGTGAAATGTTTATATTAATATAATCTTAACTGTATATATTCAACCTGAGGATGGCTAAGATGCTATTCTGTTTTGGAAACTCTTCCCATGGAACTTTCAATAGTAACACAACTAAATAAACACAATTATTTCTAGCATCTCTCTATAAGGTCTGTAAATTGACCATATTTGTGGTATCAAATATAATTTTGAAATTATTCTTTGATACAGGACTCAAAGATCTTTTGAAGTTTTCTTCTTACATTTGTCCTTCAAAAGGCTTATAATGTTTAACTCCAATATAGCACTTTTTAAAAATCCTTCTGTCTCAATGTCTTATCTAAATCTAGCATTTCTCTACTAACTTTGAAACCAGTAATCTCCAAAGTCTCTATAATTTCTGATTATTGATGTTGTTTTATGAAATTTAATATTTCCTTGTAAGCTATCATGACTTTAAATATTTTTTTTCCACTTTCTGATCATGGCACTCTCCTGCTGAATGGCTTCAATGGCTGCAGTGTACTCCAGCTGACCTCTAGGCCTTGCATGAATGGTCTCCCATGGGTCTTCCCGTTGATGGCTCTGCTCCAGTCAAGCAAGCCTTCTTTCAGTTCAATGAATGTACCAACTTCCTTCCACTATGAATTCTGTATATTTTTCTGTTCTCCCCTCTGAAATCACTCTACTCAGATACCCCCTGCCATACCTGACAAAATCCTTCATTTGCAAATCTTTTTTCCTTAGGGCAGTCTTTTCTAAAGCCTCAAACTTCACTAGTTTTACCTATTATACATTTTTATATTACCCTATACCTACCTTTTGTGGCACATAACAAAATTACATTTTCAAAAACTATTAAATATATAGCTGCCTTGATACATTTAAAACTGAATGAAAATAGGGGTCACCTGTATCTTATTCACTATTATATCTTCATGAACTAGTAGCAATTAGCACAGTATCTAGCACATCACAAGACTTGCACATTTTTACAAAAAAGGATATTTTATATATTTATATATATGCATATATGCATATATATAATTACCTTGTAATTATTTTTAGCAGTAGTTCATTAGCTGCAATCACCAGTTGTAGTTTTGTTTTGTTTTGTTTTGTGTGCGGTACGAGGGCCTCTCACTGTTGTGGCCTCCCCCGTTGCGGAGCACAGGCTCCGGACGCGCAGGCTCAGTGGCCATGGCCCACGGGCCCAGCCGCTCCGCGGCATGTGGGATCTTCCCGGACCAGGGCACGAACCCGTGTCCCCTGCATCGGCAGGCGGACTCTCAACCACTGCACCACCAGGGAAGCCCCAGTTGTAGTTTTAAGGAAAGTTATTTTTTTTTCAAGTGGCATGTAAGAAATTAATTTATAAAAAGGTCAATTTAAGAAATTCAAGACTAAGGAGCAATCTGGTTGTTTACTCATGTTTTAGGCATTTTAAAACTTACTAGCTTTTGGAATTTTATTTTTATTTCCCTCTAGTAGAGAAGGAATGATTTAAAAGAAGTAAGAAAACAACATACTTTTGTAGTTTTTCATTTAAATCTATTTACCTAAATTCATCAGGCATTTAGATATGTGTCCTGTTTATCAAAAATAATTAAGATCAATATGAATTCTCTCACAATGATACCAGTTTGGCTGATTTGTTTTATTTTATTTGTTTTTGTCTTATATACTCATAATTTTGAGTTTAAAAAAGTTCTTTCACTCTGCTTAAAGCCAGGGGAATATTTGCAAGTTTTTTTTAATTTTTAATTTGCTAGGTTATTTTAATTGATTATGAATAAATAGGTTTATATTTCCTATTCTTCCACCATATCATATGAAAGAATCAAATATAGAAGAGGGGAGCAGGGATAGTTAAATTACTTTTATATTTTTATATCATTGATCATAAGAGTTATAATAAATATAACAAAAGTAAATTTATATTTGACATAGCATACTATATTTTCTAAAACATTTTCATATGCCTCATCTAACTCAATCTTCATAAAAGTTTTTTTTTTTTAATACTGTCTGGCTTGCAAAGAAACATGGGGTGAAAGAAGAATATTCAGGTATCTAGGTAGATGTTCCAAGTCCCATTTTACTAAAGCTACAACTCAGAGAGGAAAAGGTACACACCTAATATTGTACAACTAGAAAATGACAGCAGCAGATTGTCTTTTTCTTCTATTTACAATGCGAAAAAATTAGAAATGAAAATTATTATTAGATCAGTGTATAGATTAGCTACCAAAATATGGTTAATAAATATCTTTTAGAGAAAAGGTAGAGCATAGTGGTTAAGAAAGCGATCTCGATGGGAATCCAAGCTTAGCTGTGTGAGCTGGGTAAGGGGCATCATTACTCTGTACCTTTGTTTGCTCAGTGGTAGAATGGAGTAGTGCCTGCCTCAGAGGATTGTTTTCAGGGTGAAATGATTTAATACGTACACAAGACTTAGAATATTGCCAGGCACATAACTCATATTTAATGTTTCTTTAAATTTAATTTCACTTGAAGTTAAATTTACTATTACTATTTTTAATATTACTAGCTATTCCATTGAATATATGGGTCCTGAACGCTGATGTTTCAATTCCATCCAAGAGTGTTTCTTTAGAATCTTATCTGATGGTATATTGTTTAATGTAAAAGTTTCTTAAAATATTTAACTCATTTCCTCTTGAAAACATCAGTAAAGGCAGTAATTCTTTGTTAAAAATCAAATGACATTTTCCTAGGTGGTATTATGTGGTTAATTATACAGAAGTTAAGGCATTTCTATAGTAAATCTCACTAAGAGTTAAGATTACTTTTTTTTTAAATT